CGAAACAATCCCAGTTCCCTCAGCCTCTCCCATAAGTCATGTGCTCCAGTCCCCTAATCATTTTTGTTGCCCTCCGCTGGACTCTTTCCAATTTTTCCACATCCTTCTTGTAGTGTGGGGCCCAAAACTACATTCCTCATTCACACACAAAACAGAATTAATTTACACAGAACATTTTGAACAGGAACATCAAATTGCAATGCACAAGGAAACAATCATGGCATTCTTTTACTTATTTTAAAATGCTAAACTTACAACAAAATAGAGACCTTAAACCATCTGTTACTGCCTTAAAATCAGCCCAGACACAGATTCCGGCTGATGCATCTTTACCAAATGGCCCATTAGGCCCTTCCTTTCTGGTATTCAAAAAGGGTGGCTGGCAGAATATGATCAAATCATACACCAATACATTTAATACATGCTACATTATCATCTCATTATTCTTTATCCTTCTTTCTAAATCATACAAAATGCAAACATAAAATCCTACTACTACACACTTCTGGAGAAACTGGCACCAAAAGGCTTAGCAGATCTCTCAAGGCTGCAAATGCCTCTGGCATGGTCAGTACCAAGATGGTCTTAGGACTGTGTGGTGCTACAGATGTAGAAGGCGATCCCTCAGGCACTGGACTCAACAGCACATGTTTTGGTGTCGGAGTCAATGGTGCTGACTTCTGCAATGCCAGAGAAGAGGAAGTCTTGGTTTTGGCTGCACTCTACTCTTATCCCCATGCCTGGATGACTTCAGTGGTAACAAGCTTCCCTTGTCAGCAGTCTATGTAGACGTCTTATGCCGCTTAGGCACTGGGGAAGGTGAGCACTGTTGGGACTCTGATTAGGAGAGCGCCTCCTATATTGCCAATGCCAAGGCATTTGGTGCAGAGTCTGACCATGTTGTCCTATAGTCCTTCAAGAGTCTGTCTGACTGGGCTCTGACGGAGGTCTTAAAACTGCTTCCATGAGCAAAATCTTTAGCCTGGCTTCTCTGACTTTTCTTGTCCAAGGCTTGAAGTCTTTTCAGTTCTGGCAATGATCCAGAATATGAGCTTCACCTAGAGATTTCAAGGAGCTTGAGTGAGGCTATGGGCATCAGCCTAGTACAAGAGATGCAGGGCTTAAAGCTTGATGACCAAGGCATCCATCAATACAGAGTAATGGAAAAAAATCCAACTGAGGCCAAAAATGAAAACTTACACTAAGGTACGTCTTCACTACCCACCGTATCGGCGGGTAGCAATCGATTTATCCGGGATCGATATATCACATCTCGTTAAGACGCGATATATCGATCCCTGAACACGCTCACCGTCGACTCCGGAACTCCACCAGAGCGAGCGGCGGTAGCACAGTCGACGGGGGAGCTGCGGCCATCAATCCCGCGCCGTGTGGACCCCAGGTAATTTGATCCAAGATACTTCGACTTCAGCTACGCTATTCGCGTAGCTGAAGTTGCGTATCTTGATCGATCCCCCCCCCCCCAGTGTAGACCAGCCCTAAGTAATAATATAAATCTAGAAAGCGATCTACAATTGTAAATTTACAATGAACACTCTGAGCACTTGCTAAAGCAAGACAAGCAATTCCAACGACAATCACAGGCAGTAAGAAGGAGCAGAGGGAGCTTGGGGGTGGTGAGACCTTTTATACCGGCATGCAGTGGCACACAGCAGCAGAAGGTGCTTGAGTTGCCCCAAGTACCTCTGATGGAAAAGTTTCCAACTGTGAGGTGCATGTACAAAACAAGAATGGAAGGTACATGTGCAATCACTCAAAGAATAAAGCAAGACAGCTACAGAAATCTAGGAAAATAGCAGGGATATACTCAAAACATCCTCTTTGGCATGAAATATGAGATTCACAACTGGGGGGGGGGGTTCAGAGAGGGGGAGGGGATGGAGAGGATTTACAAAGGCTCCGAGAGCAGTTAGGCACCTAGTTCCCATTAAAGTCTATGGGAGTCAGGCACCTGACTGCATTAGTTGCCACTTGAATTCATTTGCACTTACCCACTAAGTCACAGGGCTAACATTAGCCACACTCTGTTCACAGACTACAAATTATTTACATGTTCCATCAACAATCCATTTATTCTGCCTATGTAACTATTCTTAATCTTATTCATAAAAGAGAACAATACTGTTAGTCATTTGTAACGTTGGATCCAAACTATAGTTGCAAGTCAGACACAAATTACACCATTCTTCTCCCATTAATGAGATATATCACCTACATCTAGGGCTTGTTACTAACTATACTTAGTGTTACTGCCTAACAACTGACTCTCTCCCCTCCCAAAGATCTTGGAGTCCTGGCCATATCTTCCAGAATCAGAGAGAAACATCCCAAACTTTTTTTTTTTTTTTTTTTTTTTTTTTTTTGAGTGGGGTGGGGTGGGGAGGGGAAGGAATATCAGTAATTCCACATTGGGCAGAGATCAAAACAAACTTCTCTCTTCCCCTCAGTCGCCAAGGTATCCCAGCTGACTCCTAACAACGCTCACCATTGCCTCCTATCGTTATAAATTTAAAACTGTAAACTCAAAACTCCCACACCACAAGTTATTCTAGCATCCACTTTCTGTCCCATTAGGACAATAACTCTTGGACTGAGGTTAGTGGAAGTGCTTTTAGAAACCAGACTAAGGGCATTAGTGACAAATTAATCTGTTTATATGTTGGGGAAGGGGAGTGGAAAGTGCTAAGAACGAGATATTTTAATAAACCATGTACAAGTCTCATCTTTTTGAATAATTTAAGAAAGTAATATTTTTCATTTCCTTTAAGCTATTGTTCATACACTGGTGTTATATAATTTTCCTTTACCAACTTGGTAAACTAAAGCATAATGGACAGCGTGTATTGTTTAGCTTTAAAATAATCCAATTTAGCAATTATGTTCCCTTTAAAAATAAACTAGCAGGTAAAAAAGTAGATCCTCAGGCTCGTATAGGCTTGCTGCTAGACAACCTCAAATGTACATACAACACTATGAAACTGAAGCCATTAGTGTATGAAAACTCAAGACATGAGAAAAATCAATTCTTTTCTTAGAAAACACTGGATTGAAGTTAGTTATTAAAAAGCTACAGGACCCAAGTTTACTTTCAAAAATTAACTTTTAATAGCATTCTTTCCAAATGAGTGCACAATTCTTTTTAAAATCCCCCATTATGAAGTCCCTTTCAGAATTTTAAACACAAGTAGTGATATAACTTTATATTCCCCTCAGTTTACTAACATTTTAAGACAATTGATGTGTCCTAGAAGCATGTCCAAATACACTTTGACATATGGAAGTTTCCATTTACCATGCTTAATAAACTGAATGCAAACAGATTATATTTGCCACACAATTACAAGAGCAACAGTTACAGTTTCTAAATTACAAAAATAGTTATCACCTATTAGCATCTCTATACATATCTTTAGCAATATGCATTTTCTGTACAATGAACACTAATAGTGGTTAAATTGGTGGAAAATGACTCATTAAAACAAAATTAAAGGACTAGGTAATTAAGTGGATTAATATATAATGTAAAAACTGTAGGGCTTGTTATCCATCATCAACCATAACAAATGGCAGTATACTTACTGGTGCACTACCAATACCTAAAGCTGTAAGTCAGCATTTTAATCCAGTCCAGGGAGTACATTCTGGTATTGACAGAGCCCACACACTGGGGCTTCTCTGCTCTCCACATTTCTTATCAATTAAGAACTGTTCCTGACAAATAATGATGGGTTCTTGATAATCTTAAGTAGGCCCAAACTAGAATAGAATTCCATAGCCAGCAGGAAAAAAAAAAAAAAAGAAAGAAAAAAGAAAAACTACTATTCTTTACCCTGTCAGCATAACCAATTAAATAAATTAGGGTTTAAGGGTTTCCCAAACGAAACAGTATATGGTGCTTTTGTAATACATCTAGTTTTTACCATTCCAGTGAGCAAAACAGTTCAAGACTGACCTAAAAATCATTCTAAATAACGAATACTATGGCCTTTAGACCTAACACACTAAATACATGTTTTTAACATGCTGAATAAAAAGTCTATTAGTTATTTATTATCCCAACACATTTCTGATTAATACAGTTTAAAGAAGGTAGGTTTCCCCTTCTAGAAAAGGAATATATCTTAAAGTGTTGCCAGATGTGGTATTTTGGATTATTTTTTACTTAAGTTATGACAAATGTCAACCAAGGGCCTGATCCTGAAAACCTTATTCATGTAATTAACTCTTGCACATTAAGTAGTCCCATTGAAGTTAACAGGAATATACACACAAGAAACGGGTTACAGGGTCAGGTGCCAAGTTATTGGCGGACAACTTACAAAATGGTTTTTGGTTATAGACTTGTTATATTTTTCAGCTTTTAACAACGGCAACTAAAAAACATTTTGCCTGTAACACTCAACACACCACCTCCAAACAACTCAATTGTTTCACCCTTTCCAAGGGCATATTTCAGTTAATCAGCTGGTAGCACTAAGTCCATGATGAAAACGTAAAGCATCGCTGGTAGAGTAGTCTGATCTAGTCACTGTACATTAAGAAACAAAAACGTTTTGAATTATACTACTATTTAGCAGATTACTCACTTGAAGAATTTCAAGGACCGTTTGTATGAACGTCAATCAGTGTGTGTAAAAATAAAGTTGCCAAATGTAACAGCAATGTTAATATTAAGGTCATGCATGCATCAGAAGTGCATTAAAACTGTCAAGCTATACTGCATAGCAAATTGTTACAAGAAAACTGACCTCCACATTGCATAATTATTTTAAAAATTGTAATCTTCTATCAAAGAGCCTCCAGATGAGGAAACAAGTTACAAATGTGGTAGAATATCTAGAAGGCATTTTTCTTCCACAATTCATGAGTAACAATATATCATAGACTCTGTCTTTCAGAACAAAAGTTGCCTTTTGAACTCCTCTACTGTGTAGTCAGTCGGTAGATCTCCAGGGTTTGTAGGATACCTTTTTTTTAAAAAAAAAAAAAAACCATTTTGATAGCATATTTTACATGTATTTATTAACATAAATGAGCCCTAAGGATAAGAGATCAATCCAGTTAAGAGTAAGTGTATGGGTCATTTTTAGCCAAATACATCTGGTATCAGCTGTTATAGTATACATTTATATTAGCCTCCCCTTCCACGCACATCGCAGTTCCAGAGTCAATTCCAAGCTAACACATTTCAATGGATGTAAAATAAACACCTTAAATTAAGTTACATACCATCTCCTCAGAGACTTTGTGGCCAAGTAAATCAGTATTTTACAAACCAAATTATACAAGGATATGCTTCACTATGGACTTAGTAGCTTTTGGGGTTTCTATGAAAAGAGAAAGCTTTCCAACCTCCGTTTTTTGTACTATTTCAGGCCCTGATTCTGCATAAGAAATCACTCATTAGCCCCTATCATACACTCAGGTAGATCCCTTTTCAGAATCATACCCTTAGCAGTTAAATATTAAGAACTCGACATTCTTGTCATCTTGAACCAAAAGTTCCTTAGCTGGACTAGCCTAAGGAAAGTAACTAGCTTTTACACAGATGTATTACTACTGACAGCACTGTTCACGGCAAGACACATTTTATTAATGGATCATTGTCTCAAAATAGCCAATACTTAGAAGATTATATAGAAGTAAAATTACATAAGAGTTTCAGTCTATTTCTGAACCCACAGTTTTGTTCACGGAATGTTTTGCACTGTACCATTGGCAGGTTCTGGCCTTAAATCTGGCATGGCCAGATCCAGAAAGAAATACACCATGATTTAGGAAGATCCTGCAGTGGCAAAGTGCTCTAAAGGTAGCAACTCTTACCACACAGTACTCTCTGCTGCTGACACATGGGTCTGGCCAGAGCCTCTCTATATCCTAGTCATTGGCTGAGAAATCAGCCCTTTTAAACTGTCGGCAGTTAGCTGTTCCACACAAATGGTGATACAAGCTCCCCACACAGCCAACCTACTATCACCAATCACCAACCCCCACCCCAGGCATGCTTTGTTATTGCCAGCCATAGTCAAAGATTGGGCATTTGCAACTACATGTTTATGTATATAACAGCACTAGGTTATATTAAGTGCAGTATAACTTTTTTGATTCTGTTTATTCACCATTTTTTAAGTTTATAACCAACTACCAACAATATTTTTAAGAAGGCAAGAAGTAACTTGGTTTTGTAATGCCAGCATTGTGTCTTCTGGATCAGTGTGAACTGACCAGCACTATTTACAGAAATGTGATGATTTAAAGTCCAATAATGCAAAGGGATATAGGGAGGCACACCTTTACACCCATGCAGAACCCTTAACAGGACCATCACTTATAGCAGAGTAACTTTTTTTTTTTTTTAAATTGTGAAGTTTAGCTCCATACAACAAAAAACGTGAAGGGGAAAACAAAAACAACAAAATTACATTTTCAAGCTTTCAGACTATTTCTTAACTGAAAAGTTACCTTTAGAATATAACACTACTGCCAATGAACTGGATTCTTATGTCTAATATCCTATGTTAGAAAGATTTGGAAGCATTAAAGCTGCAGTACCTGTTTTTTTTAAAATATTGTTCATTTCAATTTAACAATCTAACTGCTCAACAGCAAGTATACATTAACCTGTAATTATCCAATTTAGAACTAACTAAATCAGGATTCTTTTAACTAAAACTGAAGACGTTATTTGGATTCAAGAACAAAAGTGTTTTAAACACATTAAAGGTAGTCTCCAAAAATCAAAGAAATTTTAAGATTAAATCTAAATTAAATTATGCTCCTCACAAGGTGAAATGCACAAGCACACAGTTCCGCGGCCAATTATACCTGGCATTCAATGACACTGAAGACATTTACTCAGGATTATTTTGTTATCAGAAAGTAGCCATATTTGAGTTCTTGTAGTTTAGTGTTTGCATAGGCACTTGCACTTAAAAAAAAAGTCACTCTCCAATCTCATAACGTGAAGTGTGAGGGCTCAAGAGGATTTGGGCAACTACTGCTTATTCAGACCATACAGATGTTAAACTACTTGTCAGTGTTAGGTACACATTCTTTATATTTCAAAGCGATTATGATTAGTTATATTTTCAGTTTACACTTAGTTGCCCAAAAGCCATATCTAGACTTACTATGTACACTGTTTAAGTGATTCTGTGTAAACTTGAAAGTGATACACTTGTACTCCAAGCTACTACTACAAAAAATGAAATAACTTTATGCATTTTATATTTTTCATTATCCAATAGAGACTTCAACATTTTTCTTTAACTCAACGATGAATTTTGCAAAGCAGTCATGAATTTGTGTCATATGCATTATTCGTTTTTAAAAAGATGAATAATGAACATTTTCTTTAACTTCCCATCCTGGGGTAGGGGCAGGGAGGAGGTAGAAACAAAAACAAAAGAATAGTAGCCAACTTAACACCAGATCCAAAATTCCACATTCAAGGAAAACAAAAACCTTCATTCAAGTCAATAAGAGTTTTGTTTGTGCGTAATGAGGGGGGGGGGGGGGGGGAGGGAAATCAAGCAGTTAACCTGTAATGGAAGCATACCTAAAACAGAATTCCAATACAAAGAAAGCTGTTTTGCCATAAGTTTACTAATGCATCCTCAAGGACTATAAGTTACTACATATATAGACATATCCAGACGCTCTAAAGCAAACTGGTGACTTAAATAGAAGCCTTGATCTGTACTACTATATGTTATAGTTTCAGTTCTTAGTATTTAACTTATATATTTATTCCTCTCACAAATGTTCCTTAGTGACATTGTTTCATCTATACAGATAAATAAATATATGCACATTTACTTTAAAATTCTTGTAGCCACATTGTGCTGTAGGCAATCATCCAAGTTCTCTGTCTGAAAATTTAAGATGCATTTTTTCTAGTGAAACAATTTGATAGAAATGTCTACATATCATAAAAGTAAACAGAAGGGGAAATACACTGTTCAACAATTGTGGCTATATACATTTTGCACTTTTCCTCCTCCCGCAGATCGTATTATAAGCAAACAGATCTTCAGGGTTGCTAAACTTTACACACACACCCTTTTAAATAGTAGCAAATCTGATCAACAGTTCTACTAAGATGAAGTCTGGCAGCAGCAACAGCCATCTTTTTTTTTCTGCATCATCCACTCTGCCACTTTTATTGTGGAGGTTGAAGTACGTTTAGATATTCTGACTGGCCCATTTGATAAGTCGTGTTTCCACCACAGTCTACATACTGGTATCTCTCCTGGGATATTTGTTCAGAGTGGCCAAAGTAAGAGGTCGTCACTGTCACTCTTAAATACAGACAAAAAAAAAAAAAAAAAAAAAAAAAAAAAACATTGGTTTGTAAAGGCTACACAAAAGGAATTTGTGAGATGATCAGTATTTTAAAATCAGGTATACATTTTATTCAAAAAAATTTAAAATATTTTATATAAATTAAGCAATTTTTATTCCACATTAGTAGCCAGCTAAGTTTTAATTAAAAGTTAATATTGTACTACAGGCACAGAGTTACTATTATATGTGACTACACTATACTTGGAGAGGATGGTGAAACCAATGAAGTTTACCCCAATATCAATTTACCCCAGCTGAAGATCTGATCCATAAAACACACTCCTGGCATATCATTGAGTTTTGTGTTTTAAAAATAGTCATGATGGACTGTATTCAATGTTATTAAGACAAACTGTAAAAGCCCAAATTCTGATTTATTTTTTTTATTATCTGGGTGCAAAGGCAAGGTAAATATTTACATCCAAACACTCAACACCTCTGGTTTTCATACCAACACAAGAAACTGGCAGTGAGCTTGCAACAGAGATAATATAAGCAGGTGGAGAAGAGGGAAGAGATGGGTAAGGGACAATTTCAGGCTTAAACTATAAAACCCAGTGAGACTTTTGTAACTATATAAAAAAAAAAAAAAAATACTATAACCCTGCCTGTAAGTGAACATAACTCATTTTAAGGGCTTTCTAAAAAACTAATTTAGCAAATATGACTTATCAGACCAACGGTCCTGGAGACAAAAGGTCTTCAGTCACAGAGCAGACAGAGCACTGGCATTGGCTGTGCAAGTTTCTTCACACTTCCAAGCTCCATGTTAAGGCAAGATCATATTTAAACTGCAAATAATTTCTTAAAAGCTGAACCATACAAAGAAATGATGAACTATTTAGTAATTTTTACCATATTATAAATTAAAATGTTTATTCATTTTATATAGAATATATTTCCCCCCATGTTTAAGAATATTATATATGAAAAAAATTTAAAATACACTGAATGGCTTCACTAATTATTTTTATGCACAAATACAAGTGATCCATACTTACTGCATCATGACTACTATGTTATGCACTTTAATAGATGGCAAGGTACAGTAATCACTGAAATAACAAAACCAGAATTAGAGTAATCAAGTGGTAAGATTTAACAAGCTAAAATACAGAACTAAAATTCTAATTGAGAGGATATTTACATGCTCCTTGGTCTTTAAAGAAGCATTAAGTATGAAGAGCTGCTATTAATGTCAATTAGCTATAAAATATTTTTAGTCAAAAGTTGCTGCAAATAGAGCATATTGGCATCTTCTCTACATACAAATCCCTTTTTAAGTTTACATGCAAAATGTCATTCTATATAAATGTAGATTTTTTTTTCCTGTTAACTGCTTCTTTTTAAAGTGGGGAAAGGGAAAGTGTGTATTTTAAACAACAAATGTTTAGTCATAGGCTTGCAATTTAAATTTAAATTTCGAGCAGGGGACAGCAGGGCTCTGTAACCAATAGTGCAATTTAAATCTCAAGATATCAGCAAAGAAAGCACAACAGAAAAGCATCAACAGATCACTAAGGCTACATTCACACTACAGCTTAAGTCGGTATAAGCTGTCACTCAGGGGTCTGAATAAAACTGCTTGCCTGAGCTACATAAGTTACACCAACTTAAGCTCCCGTGTGGGCAGAGCTATGTCAGCGGGAGGGCTTCTCCCGCCGATATAGCTACCGCTGCTTGCAGGGGCTCGGGTAACTAAGTCAAAGGGAGAGCTCTCTCCCATCGGCTTAGAGCGTCTCCACTAGCAGTGATGCAGCTGCACCACTGTAAGCTCTGTAGTGTAGCTAGCGTAAGATTTCTGCCAGACTCCTGGTCCAAAGTTGCAAGGGAAAGAGTCAACAAGGTTGGCAGGCTTTTCTGATAAAATGGATGGGCACAAAGAGTTAAAGTTTGGACATTCAGGAATATGAAAAATAATTATGGCAGTAAGATTCCGAGCTAAGTCATGTATTTGAATCATTAGACTTGTATTTTCTGCACTTTTTAAAAAGAATACGTACAAGTGTTTAAGCATTTGTAAGCTAAGTTCGTATTTCACATTTATTCTAATGTTTATTAACAATATTTTTTTAAATTTTCTCCAAACATACCCAAGACACTAGTTCTCATTGAATACTATGGCTTAAACCCTGCAATTGGTGTCTACAGTTGTATCAAGTTGAAACTTTTTTTTGACTGTGTTTGAATTAAATACAGAAAGCTCATCTGAAAGACGTTAATGGACAAAAGATTCTTCATAGTATGGCAACAAAAATGGCAAAGTTAAATTTTCCCAAACTACAAAATTCAACTGAAATTTCAACCCAAATACATTTCTTTTTTGAAGTTATAAATGAACAAATGCTTATAAATTAAGTGTCTCCTCAATTGCAGCCACAGGGATTACCATTGTACATCCGTAGTGACATCCACAGTCGCTATAGAATAAATATGAGGGATTATATCCCTTATGTTTTGCATCATAAATTAACTCCCAGCCAGACAGTTAGTTAGGAAGAAACTTTCTTGGAGCAGATTATTGTAAATTAGTCCATTACAAGAATTCTTGCACCATTCTCTGAATCATTGGGTACTGGCTAATGCTAGAGACAGGAAACTGAAGTAGATGAACCAGTGGTCTTATTGACTACACCAATGCCCATGTTCCTGTCTAACGTTCATAAAAAAGCAGTATGTGCTTTACTGTTGTATATTCAGTAATTCCTAATCCAAATATAGCACAAGTACAGCAATGTGGTAAAAGTTAGTTTTTAGCGGGCACCACTATATAGCATCATTAGTACAATGTTGTATACACACATGTATTTTAAAAGCCAAACACTTACAACATGTAGCTCATTTCATCTTGTATGACTGTGGGCACCATATAATCAATCTGGAAAAAACAATAAAAAAAAAAAATTTCAATGAAATGATAAGAAACACAAGATCAAATACGGCTCATATCAAAAACATATCCACATTTACCTGCTTCATATCCAGTGGACCAATGTTGGTGATATTGTTTAGCCGTGCCTTCCCAATAACCGTTTTTGAAAACTGAACTTGGGCTGTAATGTTTGCCACTTCAACAGAATAATAATTGTTGTTTGTTATATTTAGGGTGTTCTGCAAAAAAAAAAAAAAAAAAAAAAAAAAAAAAACACCTTTAGAATTGCCCATAAGTTTCTTGAAAAAGAACTGTTTTGAAAATTGTTGAAAGTCTCATATCAAAGTGAATAGGTGTATACGCTATCTTTTGCTTTATCTATCTAACTCCACATACTTTTCTAAACATATTATCTAACAGTGTTTCTCAAACACAGCCACCATGGCCGCATGCAGACACCAGGGGCTTTTCTTGCGGCCACAGCCTCCTGAGCTGTGATGTGGGGATGGGGGTGAGAGGAAGTGGCAAAATAGCGGCCCCTGCCTGTTGCTCCTGGATGGGTTGGTGCTGAGGCTGCCAGCAGGGGTTGGGCCCTGCACCCCACTGGAGACACCTGGGGCACAACACTGGAGGAGGAGCAGGCAGCTGGTGAGTTCCCAACTTTCCTGGGGTGTTGCGGCTAGGCTTTGGGCTTCAGCCCTGGTGTGGCAGGACAGCAGCAGGCCTGGGGCTCCAGCCACATTGCTTCAGGCTCCATCCCTGGGCCCTGTCCCCTGCCCGTGGGGCTTCAGGAGCTGGCCACAGGGCTTCAGACTCCAGCCCCACACTGCCTCCCCCGGCCACTCACCCACCCCATCGCCTGTAATCCCTGCTGCCTCCCCCAGCCAGGGTTCAATTTGTCCCCAGGCTTGCCAGGACTGAGTAAGTCTGCTGTGAAAAGTGATACTTTTATTTTAGTTAATATCACTTTTCACAACAGACTTACTAGGTAGCAATAAATAAATTAAATATACATGTCCAAATCATTGTATTTGTTTTTCCTAAAGCCAATCAAGTATTTTAGGAAAAAAATATGAGAGCGGACACCAAAAATGTGTACTGAGAACCAACATGTTAAAACATGTTGCATCTGAAGAAGTGAGGTTCTTACCCACGAAAGCTTATGCTCCCAATACTTCTGTTAGTCTCAAAGGTGCCACAGGACCCTCTGTTGCTTTTTACAGATTCAGACTAACACGGCTACCCCTCTGATACATGTTAAAACATGTTTTAGAACACTAGGCAGCATCTGGTGCAGGCAGAGACAGTGGTGTTTTCACAAATGTTAGCTAATATTTTTATTAAATCTCATTTCTTCTAGGATAAACAAGGTCTTAAATGGCAAGAATGTGAGTGTTGTAGAACTATACCCAATTTTCTTCCCTGCACGGTCAGCTCATTAATTTATGCAGGCAATAACAGGAAATTCATTTCTGTTCACATAAAATGAATAACTGAGTTTTCATCAAAGATTCCAACTCCATCAAGATTTGTGAGATAAAGTAAAACTGAATCTACTGCCCCTGTTCACAGGAGAATGTGGATCTGTAATGCATACACTACATGGGGAGCCTTTTAGCTATTGTATCCACAGACTAGCCCCTTTTCTTAGCCTCCAGCATGCTGCCACCTCTGCACCAAATTATTTGGGGCCATCCCTGTTCACTACTCTATCCAATTCAGCATGCTGGTACTAAACACTTACATTACTTACATTTTAGAAGGCCACATTTTAAGAGGTATCCACCTCAACAATTGCAGTCACTCTGTATACTATTTTTAGTGGAGTACAGGTATAGACTTAAGGAAGGCATATCTTTCTTAATAGTAGACCCAGAATCCTGGCTCACCCTCCCAGAGCAGATCAGGAAAAATCCCAGTTTCTACCTCTAAGTCATACTGCAAGACCTCTACTGTTCCCCAAAGATCCAGACCAGATGAAAGTCTGACAATAAACTGAGGGTAGCAGCCCATGATTATACAAACTGGAGAAGAGAATTTGACCACCCAAACAGTTGTCACTATCTTTATAATCCACATAAAATGCCTGTTGGGGTAAACACTGTCAGAATGCTTACAAATAAATGATACACGTTATGTGCCTAGTAAAATTCTATATAATGAAGCATTTTTGACTGGATCCATATGTTGTGTTTTAAGGGGAAACTATTTACACAAATTTACTGTTCACTTTACCACAATGTTCAGATTGTCTTACCGTAATATTCAGATATATTATGCGCCTACTTGTTTCATAACTGACATATACTGACTTCACGCCAATGTATTCGACATCGATGGAACGAGGAAATAAGAAGAATACAGCCAGACCAGAAAGGAGTAAGCATACTATTACAGAAGCAGTCACATAAAGCTTTCTGAAAAGAAAGAAAAAAAGTGTTAATCTAGTGATATTACCAACAAGTGATTTGTTATAAAATTCAAACCATTCCTTTCCTACCATTTATTTTCTTTGTAAGTATATAAGCATTCCTATGTAAAATCAAAATATTTAATCCAGTCTGTCTCAACCTTTCACTCTAACTCTTTAAATTCCATTTAAACTGAGAACAATTAAACTGCATATTATGTTTAAGAAAAATCTTGGAGTATAAATTAATCTTGCTTTCAAGCAGAGTTCAAATATGGAAGTAATTGATGTAATTAGTGACTCAAACTTCAACACATATGGATGCTCTGGTCTAAAATTTTTAAACCTAATTCTGGGGCCCAATATATTTAAGAAAAAGACCTCAATCAAAAGATACTCTTAATTTGAAATAGAACCGCCAGAACTGAGAGAGCAAGCAAATCAAATTCTGAAATATTGTCATATATGAGAATGAGGCTCCCATATGCCTTGAAAGGCACCCTGTCTTACAGGAAAAAATATTTTATACTAAAGCTAAATAGCAATGCTACTAGCTTGCTTAGATGTCTGTTTAACTAAGAACTGTGACTTTGGGTTTCTTGGGGGAAAAAAAAGCAAGGCATATGAAATAAAACCTTGTAATACAGCTTTATAAAACCGCAAATTTGTTCCAAGTTTTGGACAATAAACAAAAAATTCTTCAGAACTGACCTACCATTGTACCATATCTAGATGATTCTTAACCTCTCAGTATAATCTTCAAGTCCTCACAATTAAAGTTGTAGAATGTGACAATTTGCACATCCCTATAAAAAGGGTATCTTGCCATAATTCAGTATTCTAAAATGAGGTCTACTAGCAAATAAATGAGTAAATTACAAAAAGCTATGGCTTCAGTAAAACACATTAGGTGTTGGAAATCAGAACTTGGGCCTGGTTTAGCAGAGAGATGACAAACCTAAAATAAAGAATTATAAAAATCTCTTTATCCACTAATATTTCCATGTACTTGTTAATAATTGCTAACATTATACTGTTGCCAAATTAAGTATTGTAGGATTTCTAATGTCTGCTAGACGTGAAAATAATAGTCTATTACAGAAAAATCCAAAACCTTTTGATGTCTATCATAAAATATATCATAAATCACTAAGGTTCAACTGGTTTAACACATGAGCAGATCTAATAAATTTAATACAGAGAAAGCAGCAACAAAAAAGGCTAGACCAGAATAATGAGTTTACTGATCCTTGATACTGATGACCAAGAAACCATCCCAAGAAATATACAACAGCAATTGACTTATTTGATAACAGTGGGCCAAATTCACTGCTGATTTAGATGTGACAGTGAAGTTGTGTCTACTTACGTCAGCAATGAATTTGGCCTTTTGCCTTCAGGTCAAAAGCTACTTCGCCCTTGGTCTAGAGTAAAGGCTACTGGATTCTCAAGCAATGTACAGCCACAGTCTTCTAAAATATTAATCATTTGATATAACTATAGCCCAAAAGATATTGTACTGCATTATGCACCGTGCTACAAAATACCTTGTTAGCAAACAGGTGTGTGCTACCCTGAACCTCTTTTGTTAATGTTTTGAGAGTTATGGTTAGTTTTGTTATGAAACATGGTTAAGGAATATTGTTTGGAGATACTGAGCCCAAGAAAAAGATTACTCAGTGACTTCATTTATGTTTCTTCTTTAGAGAGGAAAAAAAAACACAACACCTATATTCGGATGTTAAATGTGATGCAATATATCAGCAAAAGAAAAGTTCATTTCATACATTCATATTCTTACTGTAACTTACGTTCTTCTTGGCCTCAGCCTCTGATCACTGTATGGAATCAGTGCCACAAGCTGGTTTTCCTGCCCTACAAATACACAAGAACAATTTTCAGAAATATCTTTAGGTGGACTTAGCTATCTCTAAACAAAAACAGTTCAAACAGCATTTTCCAGCAGAGTTTAATGGCACCTCATGATGGATTTTTGTTTTTAATAAAAAGACACAGTAATTAAAACAACATTTTGGAAAGTGTCCTTAGATATGGAACATCTCTTCATAGACTACACAAAAATTCTTTCAATTCCCTGTAGCAAAACAATCTGTGGGTATATTAAGGGACATATGCTTCTATCTCAGAAGAAAGGTTAAGAAGCAATTTTTTGACAGGGCAGTGAAAGGAAATACTTGTTTCTCTGGAAGACAATTATTTGTATTGCATTAGCCACCAAAAGCACCAAACAGAACCAGGGGCCCATTACACTAGATGCTGTATGAACACATAGGAATACACGGTCCCTCCACCAAAGAGTTTCCAATCTAATCCATTCATTTCTGACCTCTGTTCCCTTCTTATGGTTCAACAATAGAATTTTTTAATATTCTAAGCACCCTGGATCAAAGACCAGTTTGCAATACACTATGCACACCTATGATGCATAGGAAGTGAATAATCATCAATGAGTGAGAATTAACAATCTGAACAGCATGGTAGCAAAAGAAAAAGAACAATCACTAATACCAAAACCAAGCTTGCAAGAACAAGAACTAGTGTTATTTGGGTCAAACCTTTAATGTCAGGACCAAGAATTTTGCTCACAATATCCTCAGTTGCAAAGAACACCTGAAAGTTTACCAACACACGCTCTATGAAGTATCAACAAATTATTCCTGCGGCAGTGAACTGAACATCTATGAAAGTTCAGTGAACTATTATCACACGTGATGCACTTATAATCAACACTTCAGAGGAAAAAATTCCAATGTGTAGCTAATACGACAGACAGAAAAAATGAAGAGTGGGATGAAGATCACTTATAATTGTTTGTGTCTGAAGAGGATATACAGGATTATCATTGGGGGTCTGAGCCCAGAGCTACCTTGGGGTATGTCTACACTACAATTAGACATTCATGGCTGGTCTGTGCTAACTGACTCAGGCTCGCAGGGCTCTCGCTAAGGAACTGTTCAACTGCAGCGTAGACGCGTGGGGTTGGGCAGGAGCCTGGGCTCAAGGACCCTGCAAGGTGGGAGGATACATCTACAAAGAGACTCGCAGCAGTGAGTCTCAGAGCCAGGTCATTTGACTCGGGGCTCAGGTTATGGGACTAAAAATAGCAGTATCAACATTCTCAGGCTGGAACCCAGGTTCTGAGATCCACCTCCTTCTCTGGGTCCCCCCCCCCCGCTCCCAGTGTACACATTCCCTCAAAGGGCTAAACACTCTAAGATCTACGGGAATTTTCCATACAATTCCTACTAAAGGCACAAAAGACCTACGAGTTAGTAATTTGTGCACATGGTATTTTTTCCCCTAAAAAAATACAAGTCCCAATAAATGAAACAAAATGACTAAAAGCTTAAAAGTACAAGCAGGACTTGCATAGAAGAGAAGTTGAAAGTATGCACGTTATTTAATGTGCAAGTTGTACAAGAAGCAGGAGAGAAGGTAGATGTAGCAACACAGCATGTGACAACAGTTGGGTTAAAGTGTGGAGCCTAATCACAGGTATCTAAATATTAATTGCACCATTCAGCTCAAACATACCTTTTGCGATAAGGTATTGTGGACGTTAAAATAAGTTGAAACACACTGGTTTCCTGTCCACACCAACAGATTTCTACATTTTTCTTATGAACCCACAACCCCTTCTCTGAACAGTTTTCAGTTGTAGATAGACTCATGATTGGGGAAACAACAAAAACAAAGCCACACAAAGTTTCCTCAGAGCGCAAAAATCTTTGTGTTTGCAATACATGAAGAGTTAGAAACATGGTAAGATGTCTGAGAAAAATTCTGGAATATTTGTTGTTGTTTGAAAGAAACTGAAAAAAATACTAAAAATAATCATGTGATTGTTTAAATATATTCTTCAAACTTTGCAAAAAAAATACTGTAATGCTACTTTTATTTTTACTCTGTGCATTGTGTTGAACAGCTGGATTTGTCCAAAAGACAAGAAACAAATTCCATATGATTGCTACAGTTTAACAAAAGCATGAATCCAAGTACATTGTAATTCCAATTGTGCAATATAGTCTCATATATTCACAATTTTGTTACCTAAATTTAAATCTCATTTTATAGCACATTGAATTTATCTTAAAATACCAGTTCACTCTATTAGCCAGTTCTAATGAAAATATTATTTTATTGCAGACTTTCATTAATTAGCTCACATTTTTAATGTTTAGTATGAGACATGCATACCGAATAAATGGTTTAATAAGTCACCCTAGTGTAAAAATGGAACAAAAAAAATTTGTATGTTTAACAATTTTCTATTTTGATTTACTAAACATTAACTCTAACATTATATATTAGAAACATCCGCAACTTCAGGGTTACCTATTATCATAACACCTACTATTACCATAAACAGGAAAATTAAAAACATTTCTATTTAATTTGATTACTTGATATATTGGACAGCCCTTTGTATGGGTCTTTCACATGGCAACAGGAGAGAAAAAGATATGGTTGTAAAACTACAAAAACAGAAGGACTCAGGCCAGATCTGATGCCTAATGATACTAAATCCGTTAGGTTTATGTAAGCCACTACACTGATACTGATATTAGTTGGAAATTACATTGTCTTAAATGTGTTGCTATTTTTTTAAAATGATTTTTTTTTTTCAAAATGGTTTTGGTGCCTTTCCTCCCAGAAGATTCTGAAATGCTTTACAAACTGTACTTGAACAAGGACTTTTAACCTGTACTGAAATACAGTTCTCTCTGGAGTAGAATGTGGCAGCCGTTCTATGCCAAAACATTTTACTCATGGGGGAATTCTGCACCAAAAAATTAAAAATTTTGTGCACAGTATTTTAAAATTCTGCAAAATTCTGCATATTTTGTCAAAATAACAATATAATCATGCCAGTTTCAATTATTTTGGTAATTTATTTCAAAATACCTGTCAGCAGGTATGCCTGCATCAATACAGACCACCTTCCTCCCCCCCCCCGCAAAAAAAATTCTGGTAATTTTTTTTTTTTTTTTTGGACAAATAGGTTCCTTACTAGGAATACAGAACTTAATTAATACAGAACTTTGAGTAATTAATTTAAATTACAATACAGAACTGTATTTCTTGCACCTGTCAAAAGCACTACAAAGGCTTGGGTGAGTCAGAGTAATGGAAGCGCTGAGGGACAGGGAAGGAGCCTATAGTGACCTGGAGGGTTGTTGGGTGTGGGTGGGAGAAGTATGGAACAGGTTTGGGGGGGGGGAGGTAGAGAGGAATTGTTAGGGAGCCTCCCCCATGCAGACCCAGGCTGACCCCAAGTCTCTCCCATTCAGTCAAACATATCTGGCCCTGTCCCCGCATCCCCAGCTCCATGGGTTTCTACAGCCTCCTCCCACATCCCCATATATCCCTGCAGCCCCCCCTCCCTGCAGTCCCCATGTGGCCTTGCACCCCCACCCACATTCAGCCCCTGACTCAATGCTGTCACCCCACTAGCTCTGAGCCCACGCCCCAGTCTGAACACCAGCCTCTGACCTGCCCCAGCAGCCCCATGTGTCCCACTCTGTCTGTCCTAACTTGGCTCCGCAAGCAGGGTGCTGTGATGAATTTCTACTCCTGGGGGAATTCTGCCCTATTGCGCACTCATAGAATTTCTCCCCCGCCCACCCACCCACCATCCCCGAAATTACATTATGACCCAGAAGTGCTACTGTTCTGCCTTTTGCCCACCAGAGGCTGTTGTGGTGCCGTAGCAGTTGTCTATGTTCATGCCGCTGGCTGTTCTGGCGCCACAGCGGCCTCCGGTGGGCAAAAGGCAGAACTGCAGCATTTCTGGGGCAGAATGTATTTTCTGCAGAAAAAAAGTTCTGTGGGACACATGAATTCTGCACATGCACAGTGGTGCAGAATTCCCCCAGGAGTAAGATTTTTATGAGGGGAAATGAAGAATAATTTGTCAAATTAAAGATACAAGAGTAATTTTAGGAAGATTATACTTTGCCAAAAGAGAATTTGATCAAAATCAGGCTATTACACTTAAGGCTGTGTCTTCTATAGGCAAAAAGATGAGCTAACACATGGCAACATGCTAGTGATGACAAGGAAGTTATAGTTTTCACACATATTGGAAGGTCAGGGTAAATCCTGAAGGAGCATGTAAAACTACAACTTCCTGGTCTTCACCAGGATTGTATCTCCTGTTACCTAACACACAGTAAGAACTCTAGTGTTGTCAAAAAAGTCTACTACAGTAACTCCTCACTTAACGTTGTAGTTATGTTCCTGAAAAATGCAACTTTAAGTGAAACAATGTTAAACAAATCCAGTTGTCCCATAAGATTTAATGTAAATGCGGGGGGTTAGGTTCCAAGGAAAATTTTTTGGGGCAGACAAAAAGCATTATACTGTACAGTACTGTACTGTGGTTGGGAAGTGCCCCCGGCTTACCCCACACAGGCACAGCCTGCTGCAGGCAAGGAAGCTAGGAAGCACCTTTGCAGCAGCAGCTTCCCCAAAGAACAGGCTCGAATTTTGCCGGGAATGCTCCAGGCCCGCCTCTGCCTGTCCCCGCTCCACTCCAGGGCCACCTCTTCCCACCCCCCCTCCACCTCCTCTCAGGAGCACGCCACATCCCTCCCCCCACAAAGTCCTGCCAAACAACTGTTTGGCAGCACTTAGGACTTTCTGGGAGGGAGGGGGAGGAGCGAAGCGGAGACACAGCACTTCCCCGTTCCTGCCCCTCCCTCCCAGAAAGTCCTAAGCGCGAAGTGCTGGGAGGGAGGGGGAGGAGGCGGAGAAGCGGAACTTGTGCAATGCTCCCTTGTAAAGTCACTGCTTTTCCACAGAATCTTACAAGCAGGCAGCCAAATGACGTTATAAGGGAGCATTGCACAACTTTAAACAAGCATGTTCCTTAATTGAGCAGGGACGTAACAATTGAAACAACGTTAAGTGGGACACCGTTAAATGAGGAGTTACTGTACTGAAGAGATGGATTTTGCTTTGGCATGGGCATCTACTAATCGTTTGACCAGGCTAACCATAATCAGTTTTAGGACTGAGGCTGAACGTTTGCAAATGACATCTGTAAAATACACCATAATGAAGGGCACAGCTTAAAACTAATTTGTGATAGATCTAGATAATACTTAGCACTTTAAAAGTGTTTATATTTTCAAAGCAGTGTACACCAGGTACTTGAAGGTGCATGAATATTTTTTTAAACCAGAATGCTGAACTTCAACAGCACTAGGTATGGGACTTTGCCCATATTCTCACATTATCTACTAGCTAGCAAGAAATTATTCAAGGAATGTCAGGTAGCAAGGATAATACCACCATATGATGAAATCCCATTAACTATTTCACCCTCCTAATCACAAATACCTTTGAGGACCTTTGCAGGAATACTGTCAGGAGCACCAGCACTCATAGACGAGGGCATCCTCTTTTAAGAAAAGTAGAAGTAACAAGGGGCATCCAACAATGCAGTTACAGGATAAAAACGTTTCATGTCCAGAAACAGACAACCTATTTAAACAGATTTTCCCAAACCACAACTGATGTTTACTATTCAAAGCATGCAAAACACATGGCTTTCAAAAAAACCCTCTTCTTGTGGTATGCACAATACACAAAAGCGTGACAGCCTGCAGAGAGCTGAATCCCTCAATTATGATTTAAAAAAACAGAATATAATGTGTGTTGAGAATGATTGATGCTACTATTTAAAGAGGTCCAACAGCCTTCTTAAAGGCAAAAAAGGCTGCTTTTTAAAAGAGAAAGACAACAAGAAATAAAGCTTTTAACACAAGATGCAAAGGACATCTAAAAGGAAAACACTATAGCTGCTAATGTACCGTATATACACTTGTTCATAAGCCGAATTTTTTTATTAAAAAAGGGAAGCACCAGAGAAGGGGGTCGGCTTATGAACGGGCATAGAGAGGGAGAGGTGGGACACAACCCTCCCCCAAACAGAGGGAGCAAGGAGAGGCAGCACAGCCAGAAGGGAAGAGGCGGGGCCAGAGTGTCTACTTCTGCTCTCCCCCCAGCCTCCGAAGCAGCTGCAGCTCTGAGGCTGGCAGGCTGCGGCCGCGCCGCTTGGCCCGGCCCGCCGGAGCAGGCTGCGGCCGTGCCACCCAGACAGGCCCAGCCCGAGATATCCTCCCCAGATAAGGTGGGAAGGGATGGGGAGAGTGTGGGGGTCCTGGGGTGGGATCATGTGGGGGTGGTCACAGGGGTTACTCCCCTGACCCCCAGCTTCTCCCCCGCCCCCCCAAAAAATTTCCCCACCAGTTGCTGTCCTGGCCCGTCAGGGTAAGCAGCTTGCGCGCCGGGACACTTTGTTTACTTAGGTTTACCTCCGTGCCTGCAGATGCTCGAGGTAAACAAACCATCTCAGCCCGCCAGCAGCTTAGCCTCATGGCCCGGGAGCCAAAGTTTGCTGACCCCTGAATTACAGGGTTGGCTTATGAACGGGTCATCAAAATTTTCCATTTTTACTTATCCATCTTGGGGGAGTCGGCTTATAAATGAACCGCCTTATGATTGAGTCTATACGGTAATTAGTTTCCATAAAGGCCATTTTTCACAAGTATTTGTTGGTCATTTTAAGAGGTAGTAATTTAAGGTACAGATTGTCAAAGCAAGAATTACACCAGATTCTCTGTACCTTAGTTCCTTACCATAGTCAAAAGACGATATTATATCTACCTTTGCCTAAATTTTTCCATCTATAAAATGAGAACTACACACTACTTACCAGTTTTACAGAGCTTTGATATAACTTTTAGTCAAAAGTTATATAACACTGCAAAGTTAGAACTGCAAAATGTTTGGGACCAATATGTATTATGAAGTACAAGCTTACACATCAATCATCAAAACTGTTACCTCAAAAAACTAGTGTGACCATTTTTGTTAAACAGAAATGTATGCTGAAAGCATTTAACAGAAAAAACAACTAGAAGACCGTATACTTAATGGACAGTTAAAATTCTGAACTGACTCACACGTTTTAAAAATAAAGGTTAGTGAGAACATTATTAAAATAATATTCTGAAGGGTGCAGGCTCTGATTACCACAGTATATAATCAAGTGAGAGACCTCATAAAATGTGTCTCTGTATAACTCTGCCTAGTCATTTCAATATAGTTAAGGGATAAAATGCCTAGAAACAAGGAGAGTTAAGAGCATATAAGCACATGCAAATCAAGATTAAAGTATTGCACTGATTTTTTCCGATACAATACTAAAAAGGTAACTTATAAAATGTTGATTCATCGCACTCAATCTGACTGTCTTCTTGGTGGTGCAGGAATAGAAGAGAAAAACAAATTTCAATTACAGAATTGTAGCTATTGGATGCAGGGTATTAGCTTCATTTACAAGGAAATATGCTTAATTTTAATCTATAACACCTACCACGTGGAATTCTCCCTGTTCCCTGGCAAGTGGGACAAGTGACACTGTCTCTTCCAGTAAATTCCACATATGGGAACTGTGACACATCCCCACTTCTTCCATCTTCACTATGGGATTCAGAGTGAACTAATCCATTCCTCATGTTTTCAGATGCTGTACCTCCATCATAGCCATCTTCCTTACACGTATGTAAAGGCAGGTGAGAAAAGGATTTCCCCATGTCTGATGGTAGAGAGAGTTAGAAGTATGTTTTAGGAAAAACACTCAAAAATGGTTTACTGTCTTATGCAAAACCCAAGAGGCGCTATTAATACTGCAGTGTTTAGGAATGAAAAGAACTCAATTCATTTGGAACTCATAATAAAATGAAGTCAGAATAAAACAAGATGCAATCTGAAATTAAACAGCTGACAATTAACAGAGTTCACTTTGAAGCTCTACAGCAGAGAAGTCAAATATATATAACTTTCAGGATCCATCCAGCCCTACAATTATACTTATATGGCACACAACACTCAGATTGTCCAGAATCGCAGCTTTTTTTTTTTTTAAAGTAATATTTGCAACCATGAGCGCTAAAAGGAAAAGAAAGCTTCCAAATATGAACTGAGCATAACTGTTGCAGTCATGTCTGCCTGAGTCTGCAAATAGTCCATAACAATGACTGAGAAGTGTGAATTCCCCTAGACCCTATTATCCTAATTGGACATCAACTCTAAAATTCAATTAGAACAACATTTCAGCAACAACATTAATTATTTCAGTGCTGATCATTTTAGCAAAAGGAATGAGGAAGGAAGTGAAGCCAAGCCCCCAGGGAGGTGGGATTTAGGAGCTGCTGCAGGGGAAGAACTGTAAAGGGAACAACAAAGGAGACAGAAGCATCATAGAATATTAGGGTTGGAAGGGACCTCAGGAGATCATCTAGTCCAACCCCCTGCTCAAAGCAGGATCAATCCCCAAATGGCCCCCTCAAGGATTGAACTCACAACCCTGGGTTTAGCAGGCCAACGCTCAAACCACTGAGCTATCGGCAAGGAAAGATGAGAAAACAATGGCAGAGACAGAAATCATGACAAAGGGGAGAAGAGCTTCCACTTGAGCATTGCTGAATAATAAAGTACTAAATAAATACCTAAAAGTTTAGTTTTCACATATAGGCCAGAGTCTGAAAAGGATCTCTATCCAAATATCCCACTGACATCAGTGTGGGACCGTGTAGATTGAGGGGGAATATGGAGTCCTAAATTTATACCCCAACCTACAGAAAACCAAGTGTGGAATTTGGCCCTTTACAAACCAGTTTTGCACCATTAATCTACAGTCTTCTACTCAGCCTGCTTTTCAAATCAACACTACAACAGCTGAAACCCCAATTTTGACCAACTTTAACATTTGTATGACTGGGTGGACCATGTCATCCAGATTATAATTACTTACTTTAAAAATACTTCTAATTAATCTTTTTTAAAAAACAGCTTTAAAAAAAAAACTTAAAATAAAATGTTGATCCCTCTATCTGTAGCAATGCATAACAAAGCTGTCTTCCAAGCCTGGAAAATTCACTCACCAGGGGCAACTAGGGAACTTTGCTTGAAGAGACAGGAGCCAAAGACATTAATTTCTACAGAATTTAACATTTCATTTAATTATTATATAAATGTTTAGCCATTATTATTACAAAAATAGTTCTAAATCAGTTTCCATATATAAGGCTATCTTCCCGTATCTAAAGACAGTGTTAATGCCCCAACTGCTGCTCGTAGCTTTCTAATGAAGAAGTAGATTGAAATGGAAAGCTATCCCTGGAACCCTATAGACATGAGTGAAACTGACAAGAATTTTGTCATTTTCACTCTTATATTGGTCAGGAATCCTGTAAGTAGCTGAGACAGACAGGGAAGATATTCAAGGGGGATGGAGGATACAAAAACAGAGGTCAGGAGACGGGTAGAGTGCTAGGGGACCGCTAACCTTGCAAATACCAGGAAACAGTGAAAGCGGAAGAGTAATGAAGGCCCTCCACTTCCCTCTTGCATCAGTCAGGAGCCTGAAGATTTGAGGGAAGGGAAAAGCAAATGAACTTCAAATTTTTTGCAGTCTAGGAATAGAGGAGTTTTCAAGTTTCACACACTTATAAAACAGAGGAAGTGGTGCTTCACCACTTCCTCTGTTTTATAAGTGTGTGAAACACCACTTCCTCTGTTTTATATATATATTATGGATATACCCATCCCTCCACCTCACACCACCAAGCACAGTACAGGAAGATAACTGATGAGCAAGGAGAGGGATAAAGGGGCATGGACTTCTTGCCAGTACATTAGCCCCAGCCCTTGCTGGTGGCCCCTACTTTCTGTACCAACTGGAATAATGCTCTAAATAGTGGGTGTATGGCTATGCTCCAGGCTAAACAGTAGGAGCATTACGACTGCAGAAAAGTGACTCCAAGGTGAAATCTTTTGTGAGTGTCTGTACCTTTCTAGTAGTCAGATCATATAATCTACCATTATCATTTTTTAATGCAAGGTAGCACACCAACTACTATGACTTAGATTACAGTCTTTCACAGAGTTTGAAAAACTCTCTAATGTGAAGCTTGATCCTGCACACATTATTCAGACAAAGCGCCCACTGAACTGAAAGGGAATTTTGCCTTAGTGGGAACTGCAGGATCATGCCATTAATTTCCACTATAGTACTAGAGAAAAGAGATCTAAAATATAAAGGAACCCCATTCCTGCAGTTGTACAATAAGGTGTCCCACACAGAGAAAGTAGTATTTTAAGAACTTGCATGCATTCCTTCTGTATGGACTTCCCATATTATCAAAAAGATATATTATTCCAATAGGTGGTAAAACCTACTGGAAAGGATAGAAAGAGGTCAGAAGTTCCTTACACTGACATCTTACTGATGGTCCCAGCAGCATGACTGCATCATCACAGTTGGGTGAACGCAGACATTTGCTTGAATTAAAAATCATGAATATGTGTCAATATTCATGACCCATTTTGTTGGTTTTAGCAAGTATTCATACAAGCCAAGTTTTAGTCACAAGAAAATTCATGATCAGGAAACCTACTCATATGGGTATTCTTGCAACCATTTTGAATGTGCTTTGTGGATTTGGGCATGATCCAATAATGGAGCTGAAATACCATACAACTCAGATGACTAAAAACAAAATGTATATTGTAAATAGAAAGTATCCACAGCACAAGCTGCCGGAAGTAGTTTGTGAACAATTTATAGGCTGAAATATGTTCACACAAACGATTTAAATAATGAACAAATTTACAATAATTGGAATTTGTCAGCAAAAACGGAAATAGTTTCTAATTCACTAAATTATTCACTGAGTACACAAGATGGCTCTGCCCCTCTGTTGTCATTAGTCCACTTAAAGAGTTTTATGATTCTGCCACAGCCTTGGAGCTATGGAGCCTGAATTCTTTACCTCACGCAACAGAGGTTATTGCCTACACTGCAGCTGGAAACATGCCCCCACTCAGAGCAGGTAAACAGGCTCACACTAGCACTGCTGGAGGTACTGCACTAAAAATAGCAGTGTGGACACTGCAGCGGATGGGGCCAGACATCTGCGCTCAAATGTGTGCCACAATGTCCACACTTATTTTTAGCATGCTAGCTCAGTCAGAGCAAGTGCAAGTCTCTCTACCTATGCTGGAAGGCACACTCTCTAGGTAGACATACCCAGGTGATCATACTTTTAGATCCAGAGGTCGTGGATTCAATCCCAGCACCTGTTATGCTACAACTGCAACTAACTCATCCAACTACACTGCTAGAAGATTCAAATGCCAACTGTAATTGAAAACTACCGTTCCATCTATAACTTAAATATTTTATACCTCAAAGCTATAAACATCAATTCTGAATACCCCAATACAATACCCCAATACAATGGGATTTAAAAAACCTTAACATTTTGTAGGTGAGAATATCAGGGAAGTTGCCTGACCTCAAAACCATACAATAAACCAGTGTCGGAGCCAAGATTACAATACAGGAATTCCTGGCTTCTAATCCTGTGGTCAATTCCTTAGACATAATACTTGTCAGTACTGCACTACAGCCTACATCAGCATAGCTTGTGTCACTCAGGAGCATGAATAAACCACTTGCTGAGTGATAGAAGTTACACTGACATAAGTGTTCATATGCACAGCACTATGTTGGTGGAAGAGCTTCTCCCGCCAACATACTTTATGCCACTCATGGAGATTTTTTTTATGTTTTAACCAGCAGCACCACTGTACATATAGGCATGGCCTAAATGGATGCAACTTTTCTTTTAAAAGACAGATTAAAGGTGGAGTTCTTATTTCACTCAACTATACACAAAATTAAAATGCAACTCTAAAAAAAAGCAAACAAAATGATGATATACACCCAGTTTTAAAAGCCATTTTATTGCAGTTGCCTGCTCTATCAGCGGAGGATTAGTCATTACTATTACAAACTCTCTCAGGATACATAAGGTAGAAGAGGTAAAGAGTCATGACTTGGTATTCACAAGTCTGTTCAGCCTGGGTAGGCATGTCTAATGATGTGCAATATACAAGCTTGAACAAGCTCTTTGTCAAATCCCAGCCTTCAGCTATCCACTAAGTACACAGCAAAACGTGTTTCAAGAAAACACTTGAAACTTGGGACCTTGAGACTTCTGTCCTGTGTGGACAAAATAGAGAGAGACCCCCTCAGCGAAGCCAGGTGTGTTTACATTTGAATCCCACAACCCCGTCAGCCACAGCAAAGGGAAACGGGAAGCAGAAACTTTGAAGTGGGTTGTAGCCCACGAAAGCTTATGCTCTAATAAATTTGTTAGTCTCTAAGGTGCCACAAGTACTCCTTTAATTTCACCAGAGACCTAAAAAACCAGCTATTAGAAACCACCTCACAAAACACACATACCAAAACCACAGCATGACACCACCATGCCTTGGTCACCCATCCCACCTAAGCACACAACCTCGCTCCTGGGCCGCAGGTCCCACCTCAGCACACAACTCCTCCCCGCTCCCCACAACAACACCGCACAGACACACACACACTCACTCTCCTAGGCCACCCATCCAATCACACATCTCCCCCTGCCTCCCCACGATAACACCGCTCCTGGGCCGCAAATCCCACCTCAGCACACAGCTACCCCCCCAGACAACACTGATCTGGGGCCGCACGTCCCACCTCAGCAGCGCCCCGGCCAGCACTCAGTGACACCGGCCCACCAGGCCCCTCTCCCACCGCCCAGGCCACAACAGGGCTACACGGCCAGGCCGCCCCGCCAGGCCAGGCCCCTCTGCCCCCCGCCCCGCCGCGATGCCCGGCGTCCCCTCGGCAGCACCGACGGCCGCCGCCCCAACTCGGCGCCCTCTCACCTGCGCGGCCGGGCTCGGCTGCTCGCTCGAGGCAAGTGGGCTGCGTGCGCGGCAGGGCCCGGCTCCCGGTGGTGGGAGAAACAACGACGCCGAGCTCGGGAGCCCGGATCCTCTTCAGCGAGCGCAGTACGCAGGCGCGGCAAGGAGGGGGCACCTGGCTAAGGGCTGACGGTCTGTAGGGGCGGGGCTGCGGCCCAGCGGCGAGCGCCCGGGGGAGCTCAGGGTTGGGGGAGCCTCTCAGCCGCCCCTCAGGCCTGGGGTCTTTACCACCCGGGGGTCCCGCCGCAGCGTGAGGCGGCCTCACGCCGGGGCCGCTGCGCTGTGGTGTGAAGGTCCGAATTGCAATCACGGCCCGTCTCTAGCAGTCCACGTTTGCTTAGCCAAAGCCCCGCTAGAAATGCCCCTTCTCCGGGTGCTGCTGGGCGCCGTGACCCGGGGGGAGCAGCGCCCTCAGCGCCAGCCGGGCTGGAGAGCCCGGGACTCAGCAGTAAAATCCGCTGGCGTTGGTCTGACTTGTTCCCCCGTAGCCAGACCCGTGCTAGGCCTTCCCAGGGCACAGGCACGGCGCAGCCCTTCCCTAAAACCTACAGCTACATTGCTAAACGGGGCCACCTTTTTTCAGTGCCTCGCCTGAGCCCCTTAGACCCGACTTCTCCTGGAGCTGTGCGTGCGCGATGCTGGCCTTTACAGCGTCGCCAGCTTTCATGATTTCATCCCAGGTTTTGTAACATTCAGTGATTTTTGTTTCTTAACGCCCCAGCCTCCTGGAGTCTTGCGAAAGATTGTTTTAGAGATGCGAAATACTGATGGCTAGATTGTTCCTATTTCTAGCACAGGAATATTGATGTGGGGGAAGAAGGGCTTCCTTTCCTTTTCCACATCACCCAGTTAACAGTTTCACTGGCGACTTTCCCATTGTACCTACCTTGGGCAAGTGGGGAAGGAGCAGAGATGTGTGTGTGAGAGAGACCCCTGTACCAGTCAGCAGAGCTGACCATGCACAAGGGAACGAGTAAGCTGCCTCCCAAAAAGAGGGGAAATAACTTAGGCCTTGTCTATACTGCATAGTTTTGTTGACAAAAGGCAGCTTTTGTCAACAAAACTGTGGAGGTGTACATGCAACAATGCTCCTCCCACCGATTTAATTCCCCTGCTACACCCACAAAATAAAACCACCTCAACAAGCAGCATAGAGCTTTTTGCAAAGTAGTTAGAGTGATGCAACGTCAGGGTAGACTGCGCTTCCTTAAGATGCCCTAATTGGACTTCAGGAGGTGTCCCACAATGGCCATCATGACCGTTCTGGTCAGTCAGTTCTGCTGCCCTGCACTCACCCACTCATTTAAAGACCCAGGAATTTTTGAAATTCCTCTTCCTCTTTGCTGTGCATGGACTGTTCACACAGCAACTTTTCAGCTGACCATGCCAGCTTTCTGTAACAGATGTGCTCCCATATGGAGTACATCAAAGTTGTTGGATTTGCTGGATCTGTGGGGAGAGGAGGTTGTGCAGTTGCAGCTTCATTCAAACTGTAGGAACTTTGATGTCTACCAGCAGATTGCTTGTGGCATGCAGGAGAAGAGCAATGAAAGGGATATGCAGCAGTGCTGTGCTAAGATCAAGGAGCTGAGGTAGGCATACCAGAAGGCAAGTTAGGGCAACCATTGCTCTGGTGCAGTGCCGATGACATGCTACTTCTACAAGGAGCTGCACACCATCCTTGGTGGTGACCACACCATCCTTGGTGGTGACTACACCACCAAGAGCCCCCTGGATACTTCGGGGGGGACTGGAGGCAGCAGCCAGTGGAGTCAACCCTGAGGATGAAGTGGTGGATGAGGAAGTGGAGTTGGAGGAGGATGTGGGACATGTGACAAGGTCATCCAGTGGCGTGGCAAGCTAAGGCCTATTTTCGACTCCAGAGGGGTCTAGCCAGTCCCAGCACTCTGACTCTGGTGCTTATGAAGCAAGAGAGGCAAGCTCTGGTAAGCACACATTTTGCTTTGATACTTCACAGTGATAGGAAACTGAGGTCTCATTTACTTTGTTATAAGGTAGAAGAGGGATAAGGGATAGAAATCAACAGAGCCGATGCAGCTACGCAGTGAGGGCCCAGCGGAAAAGTTTGTTAATGTACACCGGGATGTCCCAGGAATCCTACATAGAATCCCTAGGAAACTTTTGTGTAGGTACTCAGCAATCCTCTGCCAAAGGTTCTTTGGGAGAGCTGCCTTGTTTCTGCCCCCACTGTAGGAAACTTTGCCATGCCAACCGGCAATTATTTCTTCAGGGACCAAAGCAGCACACAGGCGAGCAGCATACAGACTCGATCTGAAGCTGCACGCATGCAGGAGATGCACGCTGGCATCTTGGGTTACCCTCAGGAGTGAGGTATTGGGTTCGATTACCCCAGCCTGTGGAAAAGGGTGCCAATATTCAGAATACTCTCCCTAGGAGCATGTAGTGACCCGCTTCGCAAACCACCCATATCCTTTGTCCCTTCTTGCCCATTCCCCCTTCCCAACCCTCCACACCCCCATTGAACTCACCATATTTGGGATTCTCACCAAGCTGTGTGCAAGCAAAGGGACAGTGAGAAAGAGGTATGTGTGACTTTTGTGATTCACGGCTTTGAGTCCACTCTCAATACCGTTTCTGTTCATTGTTTCTTTAGCTTCTGCAGATGTGCCCTTGAGGACCAAGCCCTACATACTGGCAGAGCACCTCTGTCAGAAAAGGAGGCGAACCAGGAGGAGCAAGGAGGCTATGTTTAGAAAAGTGCTTCAGTCAATAGATGCAGCACATAGCGAAACAAGAGCATGGAGAGAGACAATTAATGAAAAACTCAGGCTCGGCGTGTTGCGGGCAGATCCCCGCCGAGCGAGGGGCAAGGAGACCTTGCCACTAACACGGCCCTGGGTTGGGGTTCGGTGGAGAGGGCAGGCCTGAGTCCCCCTACTCCCTCACCCTCAAACCGTGAGGGATCTTATACGGACTCTGGCCGCTGGGCCAGGCTACCCCGCTCGTAAGGGGGTTTGTATGGACTCTGGCTGCTGGGCCGTGCTACCCCGCTCGTAAGGGGGTGTGTATGGACTCTGGCCGCTGGGCCGCACTACCCCGGTTGTAAGGGGGTGTGTATGGCCGCTTTGCTGCGCTACCCTGCTCGTAAGGGGTGATCGTAGGGAGAAAGGCCAAGAGGCCGCCACTGACCAACCCACATTGATGTAGGTGAAAATGACCCCAGAGATCCACCAGTGCCTGCAAGACCATGGAGAAGTAGCCCTTTCGGTTGATGTACTCAGGCGCAAGAAGGTCTGGGGCCAAAATTGGGATATGAGTGCCATCTATTGCCCTGCCGCAGTTAGGGAATCCCATTGCCGCAAAACCATCAATTATTTCCTGCTCGTTACCCAGAGTCACAGTCCTTCGCAGCAGGAGGTGGTTAATGGCCGTGCACATTTGCATCACCGCAACCCCCATGGTGAAATTTTCAATTCCAAACTGATTTGCCACTGACTGGTAGCAGTCTGGATTTGCCAGCTTCCACCCAGTGATTGCCACTCACTTTTCCACTGTGAGGGCAGCGCTCATTCTGATGTCCTTGTGCCGCAGGGCAGGGGTGAGCTCTGCACACAGTTCCAGGAAGAAGAAGAACAGGAGTACTTGTGGCATCTTAGAGACTAACAAATTTATTTGAGCATAAGCTTTCATGGGCTACAGCCCACTTCTTCGGATGCATAGAATGGAACATACATTGAGGAGATATATAGATATATATACACACACACACACACACATACATACAGAGAGCATGAAAAGGTGGGAGTTGTCTTACCAACTCTGAGAGGCCAATTAAGTAAGAGAAAAAACTTTTGAAGTGATAATCAAGATGGCCCAGTACAGACAGTTTGATAAGAAATGTGAGAATACTTACATGGGGAGATAGATTCAATGTTTGTAATGGCTCAGCCATTCCCAGTCTCTATTCAAGCCTAAGTTGATTGTATCTAGTTTGCATATCAATTTAAGTTCAGCAGTTTCTCATTGGAGTCTGTTTTTGAAGCTTTTCTGTTGCAAAATTGCCACCCTCAGGTCTGTTACTGAGTGACCAGACAGGTTAAAGTGTTCTTCTACTGTGTTTTGAATGTTATGAATGATTCCTGATGTCAGATTTGTGTCCATTTATTCTTTTGCGTAGAGACTGTCCGGTTTGGCCAGTGTAAATGGCAGAGGGGCATTGCTGGCACATGATGGCATATATCACATTGGTAGATGTGCAGGTGAACGAACCCCTGATGGCATGGCTGATGTGATTAGGTCCTATGATGATGTTACTTGAATGGATATGTGGACAGAGTTGGCATCAGGATTTGTTGCAAGGATAGGTTCCTGGGTCAGTGTTTTTGTTCAATGGTGTGTGGTTGCTGGTGAGTATTTGCTTCAGGTTGGGGGGTTGTCTGTAAGCGAGGACAGGTCTGTCTCCCAAGATCTGTGAGAGTGAGGGATCATCTTTCAGGATAGGTTGTAGATCTTTGATGCTGCGCTGGAGAGGTTTTAGTTGGGGGCTGAAGGTGACAGCTAGTGGTGTTCTGTTATTTTCTTTGTTGGGCCTGTCTTGTAGGAGGTGACTTCTGGGTACTCGTCTGACTCTGTCAATCTGTTTTTTCACTTCAACAGGTGGGTATTGTAGTTTTAAGAATGCTTGATAGAGATCTTGTAGGTGCTTGTCTCTGTCTGAGGGATTGGAGCAAATGTAGTTGTATCTTAGAGCTTGGCTGTAGACAATGGATCGTGTGGTGTGTCCTGAATGGAAGCTGGAGGCATGTAGGTAAGTATAGCGGTCAGTAGGTTTCCGGTATAGGGTGGTATTTATGTGACCATTGCTTATCAGCACAGTAGTGTCCAGGAAATGGACCGCTTGTGTGGATTGATCTAGGCTGAGGTTGATGGTGGGATGGAAATTTATTGAAATCATGGTGGAATTCCTCAAGGGCTTCTTTTCCATGGGTCCAGGTCCAGATCCAGGAAGGTGGCTTTCCGCATCCAAAAGTTCTGCAGCCGCTGCTCATCATCCCATATGTATATCATGATGCAATCCCACCACTCAGTGCTTGTTTC